GGCCTGCCAAAACCAATTCCATGAGCCTCTGGAACGTGGCAGGAGCGGAATGTAAACCCATGGGCAATCGGTTGAACTCAAATAGGCCTCCCGGTGTCCGGAAAGCGGTTTTAGGTTTTGATTCGTCATCGAGGGGCAATTGCCAAAATCCCGAAAGCAAATCGAGCGTCGAAAAAAACTGTGCTCCTGCCAAGGCATCCAGCGACTCATCCATCCTGGGGAGCGGATACGCATCGGCCATTGATATTTTGTTTAGGCGGCGGAAATCAACACAGAACCGCAGGGATCCATCCTGTTTTTTAACCAAGACGATAGGAGCACCCCACGGACTGGAAGAGGGCGCAATGATGTCGGCCGCCAACATGTCATTTACTGCCGACTGCACGTGCTCCTTCTCGGCTGGACTGAGCCGGAAGGGATTCTGTCGAATAGGGGCCGCGTCCCCAGTCTCTATGTGGTGGCGCAACAGGTCTGTGCAGCCAATGTCGTACTTGTGCCTGCTAAACACGTCAGCGAACTCGAGCAGCAAGCCCCTCAATGCACCCAACTGCACACTGGACAAGGTACTGGACCCGGCACACAACGCGTCCAACCACTCCGTCCCCTCCTCACTTTGGGGATGCGTATCGACATGTGAATCGGCGTGAGCAACGAGCTGTTCCTCGACGGGTAGCGGCGCGGCGTGAGCGAGCACCGTTCCCTGCGTAATCACGGCCGGCCGCGACCCCGTATTCAGGACCACAACGAACGGCTCACTGTCCCCCCTCACCATGGTCTGGGCCACCGCTAAGCCGAGGTCCCCTTTAGCCCTGTTAGACGGCCCCAATAGAACTCCCTGCGCCCCCGCATCCGCCCCCAGTTGTTTTCTCAACCGAAGGGGTACCAACATTTGCGATCCCGGGGGCACCCGTACAGTCCGGGTTGCCAGCGCCTGCACCGTCGCACAAGCCGTGCGTATCTTATTTGGACTCTTCAAAAACTCAACCCGCCGACCCGACGGAAGCTCAATGCAGGCCTGGTCTATGAGAATTTTTATGGGCATTTTAGACAGAAAGTCCGTGCCTAGTAAACAAGGAACGGCCAACGATGATGATACAAAAATAGGACCCGCCAATTTAATGTCGCCAATACAAATATTCGCCCGAATCTGGCCGATGATTCCCAAAGATCCCCCGTTTGCCGCGTAAAATGGTACGTCCACCGGCAGAAGTGGTCGACATTGTACGGGAAGAATATTATAAATAAGGTCCGAAATAATAGTGGCCGACGCACCCGTGTCCACGAGCACCCGGACCTCAACCCCGTCAATGTACCCCGTTACCACGGACGACCCGGCCGACGCAGCCACAATCCTGTGGGCCAATTCGGACCACTCGACTGCCTTCGGGCCGTACGCGGACCCCTCTCGCCGAACCGAACCCCCGGCGCCCATACACGGTCCCCCCACCGCTAAGCGGCGATCCGAACGTGCCGTGCGTGTGGACCGAGCGTGTGAGGTGCCGCGACTTGCCGGGTTCAGTTGGGATGTCTTGAGTCCCTGGTCGTCGTCCGGACGTGGTCCCGCGGTGCGTTGATGCGGGGCCCGGCACCCGGCCGCGACGTGGCCCCGAAGGCCGCAGTTGTAGCAGACGACGAGGGACGTCGTAGGTTTCGGTTGCTCCAGCTTGCGGGAGGAGCGTGTGGGCGAACGACCTCCCGGTCTCCACTCCCCCGGCCTCGAACCAGCGAAGGCCTCCTCCCGAGGCACAGCAGGCTGGGGTCCGCTGATCGTGGCGGCCGGTGCCCCGTTCTCCACCGATGCGCAGACGACCGTCGGCTTCCGCTGTAGGACCTCGTAAGCGTGGATACTCGTGGCAATCCCCAGGGAGCAGATGTCCATCTCGTCCGCCGTATTAATGGGAACTCCCAATCCGTGAGCCAGCGCCAGCAGCTGCTCCGTCACCATGGCGTCCTTCCCCTCCTTGTCCATGCGGGGAAAAGCTGAATCCGCCAGGGCGAGCAGCGCCGTGCGATAGGCGAGCGTTGTTTCTCCAACCACCTTCCGCCGATCGTAGAACTGGTGGCGACAGGTCGAGGGCGGCCCGAACACCTTGGCCAACAGGTGCAGCGCGGCCTGGAGCGTTGAGCGGGACGACCTCGGGGCAGACGTGAAGGCCGCAAGCGCGTCGTCGTCGAGCATCGCTGGCAGCGCGCGCAGGGCCGTGGTGTCGGACCACCCCGACATTTCTTGATGCGCGATGAACCGTCGCTGGAAGGCTCCCCAGTCGCCCCCGTCCGCCTTGAACACCGACAGCGCGGGCAATCGTTGCTGGAGAACTCGATCGTCGTCGTCGTCGTTGGAACGATTTTCCCGCGCGCTGCTGTGGTTGTAGAAAATGTCGGCTCCCTCTGCAGGCGCAAAATGGAGAGCTCCGGCGCTCGCCGATGACGCGGGCTGCGCTGTGTGGAGACCTCTGGCCACGTGGTGTCCGCGTTTCCCGCCAACCGGAGGCGGATCCTCAAAAATGGCGCCAACTCCCAAACTTTTGGCGCGAAACGCCTTATGGCGGGAACCCTCCAGCCGCGCCGCCTCTTCCAACCCCGCAGGCGTTCCACCGGCCGCTGGAACGGAGATCTCCGCCAAGATCGCAGCGGCGGCGAGCAGCAACTCCGCCAGGCGGGAGTGTGCGTCCTGCAGGCTGGTGTCGGAGGCGGGCGGAGCATCGGCCATTTCCGCGAAGTGCTGCATCGGCGGCAACTCCTCGTCTTCTCCTCCCGAGGGTGGTGTCACCGGTACGTCGTCGTCTCCCCGGTCTTGCACGTGGGAACGAGAAGTCTTCCTTGTGTCCATTCTCCTTGAAGACAGGTTTACTTCTGACGCCAGTTGTAAAGTAGTAACTCGGCAGGAGACGACTTCACGGGTAGCACACTCTTTATTTTCACCAACTTGTAGTTACACGGATGACTAACACCCTACTTCGTTACACGGGTGACCAACACCCACTTAGCTACACGGGTGACGGACACCCACTCAACTACAACTTCGTCACACGGGTGACCAACACCCACTTAGCTACACGGGTGACCAACACCCACTCAGCTACACGGGTGACCAACACCCACTCAGCTACACGGGTGACTAACACCCACTCAGCTACACGGGTGACCAACACCCACTCAGCTACACGGGTGACTAACACCCACTCAGCTACACGGGTGACCAACACCCACTCAGCTGTACTGACACGGGCTCTTACGCCCTGTAGCCTTCCGGGACACACCCAGCCGGGGTGCCCGTCTCGGCTCTGGGTACCACCGTCCCGACCCACACGGGCGTCGGACTACGGTCCCCCCCAGTCTCGGCTCCGAGCCACACAGGGCCCCTACCTCCTCCACCCCGTCTTCGGTCTTCAACTGGTTAACACTGACCACGAGTGCTCTCGCGCGTCCCCCTTTATACCCCTCCTGCGGACGTCGCTGAGAGTACTCACTTATCTGACCAATCACTGCGCACTCGCTACGATCCTCTTTCCCAGCTTGTGTGAGCGCGCCTCACCACCGGCGCGCGCGTCCCTGCCACGCCCACACCGCGTGCCCAACCCCGCGCCCCGTGATCCATCACTCCCGGCGCACGTCAATACCACCACTACATATGTATGTGATGGTGTGTGTGTGATGGTCTTCTCGGCCACAGTCATTCCCTCCCTTCTCTACGCTTGCGAAACGTGGACCCCCCTAATGGAGCATCTTCGCCAGTTGGAAACATTTAGGCTGGCCTGCCTACAATCCATCCGTGGTTTAACCAGGCTGGATTGTGTGAGGAGCTCACAAATCCTTGAAAGATCTGGGCAAAGTCCCATCGGTGAGCTCCTCCCTCAGGCAAGGCGGCGTTGGCTGGGTCATGTAGCCCGCATGCCCAGCCACCGCATGCCAAAACAGCTTCTGTTCGGCCGGATCGAGGGGGCTAAACGGGCGCGGCACGGGCTAGAGAAAAAATGGAGTGACGTGGTACAGGAGGACGTGGAGCTGAGTGGACTTGCCGATGACTGGTACCAGCGGTGTCAAGATCGGCCTCTGTGGAGGAGGCTCGTGAAGGACGCTACTGGGCAGTTGGAGGCAGCCGCCCTCCAACAACAACGGAGGGCAGAGGAGCAACGCTCACAACAACGAGCGGAGCGCCGGGTGGATAAGCACAGCAAGTTGGCACAGTAGGGGGCATAGGTGGTGCATCAGCCAGTCATCTCAGTCATCTCAGTCAGTCGACCCGTGGCACCTGGGTCTGCCCAGTGACCTCCTGCCAGCGGGCGTTCGACACCTCACGTGGCCTCAAGGTGCACATGGCCTGGCACAAGCGTCGTGGTGACGTCACCGCCACTTAGTGGCGAATGGCGGTTGTTGTTGTTGAGTATGTGTGAGAGATGGTGTGTGAGTGTGTGATGGTGTGTGTGTGAGAGATGGTGTGTGAGTGTGTGATGGTGTGTGTGTGTGTGAGAGATGGTGTGTGTGATGGTGTGTGTGTGAGAGATGGTGTGTGTGATGGTGTGTGTGTGTGTGTGTGAGAGATGGTGTGTGTGTGTGATGGTGTGAGTGTGTATGAGAGATGGTGTGTGTGTGTGAGAGATGGTGTGTGTGTGTGATGGTGTGTGTGTGTGATGGTGTGTGTGTGTGATGCTGTGTGTGTGTGTGATGCTGTGTGTGTGTGTGATGCTGTGTGTGTGTGTGTTGGTGTGGTGTGTGTGTGTGATGGTGTGTGTGTGTGATGGTGTGTGAGTGTGTGTGAGAGATGGTGAGCTCTTATTTTGTTTCACCGATGTCTGAAACTGTGGCCCCTCCCGCCACCACCCCCCCCAAACCAACCGGCCCTGACCAGCGGGGTGAAGTATGGTCAAACGACCTCCATGGCAGACGCAGCGTGGTGTGCGCGCCATTCTCGTTCGACGGCGAGAGATGGTTGGGAATCATTTTTTGATTAAACTAATCAGCATCATTACGTAATTAATTACTCGTAGTATTACTCCGAGATGGAAGTACGCACTGGTGCATTGTTAATAAGAGCATTTTGTCAACGATGCATTACGTAATATTGCAATTTTCAATGTATTAAAGCTGTGTTTTGTTGATGGATGTGCACCCAATCGCAGTTGCTGTTGTTGTTTTTGTTGTTGTTGTTTACCTCGATCTTCAGTTTGCCTTTCCTCCTTCAAGTGCCCGGCCTAAATAACCCCCCCTCTCCCCCCCGCCCCTCCCCCCTTCTCCACCCCGCCCCTCCCCCCCCTCTCCACCCCGCCCCTCCCCCCTTCTCCACCCCGCCCCTCCCCCTTCTCCACCCCGCCCCTCCCCCCCTTCCCACCCCACCCCTCCCCCTTTTCTAATCCGCCCCTCCCCCCTTCTCCACCTCGCCCCTCCCCCCTCTCCTCCGCCTCTCCCCCCTCTCTCCACGCCGCCCCTCCCCCTCTCCACCCCACCCCTCCCCCTCCCCTCCACCCTCCCCCCTCCCCTCCACCCCTCCCCCCTCCCCTCCACCCTCCCCCCTCTCCACCTCGCCCCTCCCCCTTTTCCACCTCGCCCCTCCTCCTTCTCCGCCCCTCCCCCCCTCCCCCCCGCCCCCCTCCACGACGTTCCCCATCAGAATGCGCGGCCCCCCTCTTCTCGCTGCCCCCCAGGCGGGTTCCGTCTGCCAAGCCCCCCCCAGGCGGAGCGTCTGTGCGTGACTGATAAGAGTCAAAAAACAATCTGTCCAGCAGACGGAGGGGGGCAGCCCCCCCCGCCCCCCTCTCTCAACTCCCCCCCCACCCCCCCCCTCTTCTCCACGCCTCCCTCTCTCTGTCCCTCTTCATCCTCATGCAGAAAAGCGCCCGTTGTGCCACTCGCCCCCCCCATCTCCCCCCCTCACTCTCCCTCTCATCCCCCCCCACTCTCTCCCTCTCATCCCCCCCCCACTCTCTCCCTCCCATCCCCCCCCCCCCACTCTCTCCCCCCATCCCCCCACTCTCTCCCCACCATCTCCCCCCCCACTCTCTCCCTCCCATCCCCCCCCACTCTCTCCCTCCCATCCCCCCCCCACTCTCTCCTCCCCATCCCCCCCCACTCTCTCCCCCCCATCTCCCCCCATCCCCCCACCACTCTCTCCCCACCACCCCCCCCCCACTCTCTCCCCCCATCCCCCCCCACTCTCTCCCCCCCATCTCCCCCCCATCCCCCCACCACTCTCTCCCCACCACACCCCCCACTCTCTCCCCACCATCCCCCCACCACTCTCTCCCCACCACCCCCCCCCACTCTCTCCCCCCCATCTCCCCCCACTCTCTCCCTCCCATCCCCCCCCCACTCTCTCCCTCCCATCCCCCCCCCTACTCTCTCCCCACCATCTCCCCCCCCCACTCTCTCCCCACCATCTCCCCCCCCACTCTCTCCCCACCATCTCCCCACCACTGTTCTCTCTCCAAGCGCTTTGCCTGAAATAGGTGAAATAGGTGCTCGCTAACTCGCGTCCGTGCGTCCTGTGCGTGTGGGGAGCGGTGGTGCAGTGGTGAGCGCCCTGCGCCACCAATCCCTGCGACCCGAGTTTGATACCCGACGTGGTGCGGTGCTGTGCAAATATCAAACTTGGGGACACAAAGGCGGCCGAGCGTGGTGCTGGCAACCCATCCCCTTCGGGCACCGTGTTGGCCTTAATAGGTGTTCGATAACAGCACTTGGCCCCCTGTTAAAGGCTATACGGGGATCTTTGTAGTTGCCTTCATATCCACTCGCCGAGAGACAAGGATCTCAGCAGGGAAAGGTTGCGTTAGAAGTTGGGATTACAGTTCAATGGGTGTCGCTATCTCGCCCCCTCCCCCCCTCCCTCGAACCTCCTTCCACTCTCTTCCGACTCTTGCCCGTCTCCCACTCCCCCCTCTCTCTCCCCTCTCCCCCTCCTCCCTCTCTCTCTCCTGCATCTCATCCCTCCACTACGTCTCTATAGGGTGAGGGGTAGAGCTGTAGGGTGAGGGATCTACATCATCATTGTCATCGTCATCATAATCATCATCTTTGTCATCATCATCATTGTCATTGTCATCATCGTCGTCATCTTCGTCGTCATCATCATCATCTTTGTCATCATCATCATCGTCATCATCATCATTGTCATTGTCATCATCGTCGTCATCTTCGTCGTCATCATCATTATCTTTGTCATCATCATCATCGTCATCATCATCATTGTCATTGTCATCATCGTCGTCATCTTCGTCGTCATCATCATCATCTTTGTTGTCGTCATCACAGTGGCCGACTCCTTTCAGTCGCCTCACTCCCGGCCCAGCCGGCGTCTCCTCTCGTGTCACGGATGGGAAGCTCAGCAGGATTCAGCCTGGACACTTGATGGGGGGGGGAGGGGAACACAGACTGCTGGGGCAAGTGCTGTGAGCGAGCACCTACTACGGCCGGCACACGAGGGGGTGGGCGGCTAGCACCACGCCCGGCCGCCTTTGTCGTGATATTGTGCGATATTTTTGCCGTAGTATTTGCCACATCACGGCGAGTGTTGTACGTAAACACGTGAGGCTTTCGCCACCAATATCATTCACGACAAAGTGTGTTTGTTGTTGTTGTTGTTGTGTTAGATCGGGTCAATGTGTCGTTACCACCCTCCTCCACCCGACGCAGCCACATTGAGTGTGGTTCGTCACGCTGTGAACAGAACGCGCCCGTGATTTCCCACTTCAGCACCACCGCTGCGATGGAGAGCAACTCCCCCCAGACAGAGAGAGAGAGAGTCAACACCAACTACTACTACGACTACAGCCTTACTTTTCACTACTCTCATACTGGCAACAACAAAACAACGGTCTCCACGATAACCCCACACCCGTTTACTATTCTGGCCAATCGCCTGACCATGCTGCTGCTGCTGCTGCTGCTGTTGGCATCGCCAGCGAAACGTCGTGAACTCAGATCGTAAAAGTGCTGCGGGGTTTACGCTCTGGAGTTGAGTGACGAATTGGCACGTTCTGTTCACGTGACAAACCTTGCCAAATAGGCTGTGTCGGGTGGCGGTCGGTGTACGACACAATTACATTGACGCGATCTAACTCATCAAAACAATGTATTCTGATTCGTTGTGTTCTCTTCGAGATTATTCCAAATATATCTGGAGCACAACCATCGGATACTACAACAACAACAACCGCCATCCGCCACTTAGTCACGGTGACGTCAACACTGCGCTTGTGCCAGGCTAGGTGCACTCTGAGGACACGTGAATTGTGGAAGGCTGGCTGCTGGCAGGAGCTCCACGGGACAGACCCATGTGGTGCCATGGGTTGATTGCGGTGCCAGGCTAGGTGCAGGAGGAGGTCACGGGACAGACCCACGTGGTGCCATGGGTTGAGTGCGGTGCCAGGCTAGGTGCAGGAGGAGGTCACGGGACAGATCCAGCAGGTGCCATGGGTTGACTGCGGTGCCAGGCTAGGTGCAGGAGGAGGTCACGGGACAGACCCAGCAGGCGCCGTGGGTTGACTGTGGTGCCAGGCTAAGTGCAGGAGGAGGCCACGGGACAGACCCATGTGGTGCAATGGGTTGACTGCGGTGCCAGGCTAGGTGCAGGAGGAGGCCACGGGACAGACCCCCGTAGGTGCAATGGGTTGCGTGACTGAGATGACTGGCAGATCCACCACCGGTGCTCCCCCACTGTGCCAACTTGCTGCGTTTTATCCGACCGTTGTTGTGAGCTTCGCTCCACCGCCCTCCGCTATTGCTGGAGGGCGACTGCCTCCAGCTGTAGCCCCGCAGCGTCCTTCACGAGCCTCCTCCTCCTCCTGCACAGAGGCCGATCTTGACACCGCCGGTACCGGTCATCGGCGAGTCCACTCAGCTCCACGTCCTCCTGTACCACATCACTCCCATTTCTTCTCTAGCCCGCGCCGCGCCCCGATAGACACACAAACACACAGGTGAGGAGGGAGGCTGAGTCTGCGTTTGAGAGAGGGAGAGAGGGAGAGAGGCCTCGTTGCCTGAATCCATTGCGACGTATTTTACAAGCAATTTCACACTTCAGTGATATCCGCTTGAGAGAGAGAGGGGGTGAGAGAGGGGGGTGGGGAGGGGAGCGAGGAGGCGGAGGAGAGAGAAGGGGGAGGAGAGAGACGTGGGAGAGGAGATAGATAATCTATTTCAGACGAGCGGGGAGAGGAGCGTTTGATGATGAGATAGTTTGATTGAGATGAGAGAGGGGAGAGAGGGGAGGGGAGATGGGGAGGAGAGAGAGAGAGAGTCATCTCTATATAAACATATATACACACTGATCACGTACGGCAACACCAACACTGCGCGTGTGGGTGACATTTAAAGGATAGAGATATAAAATAGGCGACGTTTCGGGCAACGACTCTTCTGCATAGCACGATGTTGATTGTTGATGTTGCCGCGGTGTCCTGGACAGACGTGGGTGAGTTTGTATTCATTAGCTGTGCTTCTGCACTACCAGCAAATACATGGCACGTACGCACGTGAACCTTCTTTCGCACCGTACGTAGCCAACCGTGCGTGTGTAAGGACAACAAACACAACAACAACAACACCAACACCAAGAAGCAGTTCGAGAGAAATCAGTTTGTCAATTCGATTTCAAGGTGCACGACTCCCCAGCGGCGTCCGGATGAAACGCGAAGGCCGCGGGCGTCGAAGGCCCGAGCGTCGTGGCCGCTGGGTCACGTGTGGGTCACCCGTGTGGTCACGTGTGGTCACGCGGGGTCACGTGGGGCCACGTGTGGTCACGCGGGGTCACGTGTGGGCCCCGTGTTGTCACGTGTGGGCCCCGTGTGGCCACGTGTGGTCACGTGTGGGTCACGTGTGGGCCACGTGTGGTCACGCTGGGCCACGTGTGGTCACGTGGGGTCACGTGTGGTCACGTGTGGGCCACGTGTGGACCACGTGGGGTCACGTGTGGGCCACGTGTGGTCACGTGTGGACCACGTGGGGTCACGTGTGGGCCCCGTGTGGTCACGCGGGGCCACGTGTGGTCACGTGGTGTCACGTGTGGTCA